AGCGGGAACCCCCCCCGCAGCCCGGCGAGCTGGGGCGAGGAAGGAGCCTGGAGCCCCCCGCGGGGGCGGCTTGGGAAGGGGGGACCGGGCTGGCACCGTCCCGCTGGGATGGCCGGGTCGGGGTGGGAGCCATGGATGGGGCTTCCCGTGCCGGGGCGGGGTGCCCCCCGCCGGGAGGCAGCTCCCCTGCTCGCCCAGCGCAGCACCTCTGCTTCACCCTTTTCATCTTTTGCAGAGATTTACCTTTTTTTTTTTTTTTCTTCCCTCTGCTATTTTTTTTCCCTGCTATTCCATGCAACGGTTCTCTTGGAACCCAGTTATGAAAATCAGGGAGACTCCGCGACCCGCGGTTTGGGAACGGCCGCCCCGGAGGGGCGACGCACAAACCCGGACCCAAACTCACTGCCAGGGCAGGAAACCTCCTCAGCCTGGAGCTAAGTCCCCCTGCAGCCACTTGCCAGGCCCCTAAAACACAAAATATATTGTCTTTTTCCATCTCAAACCACAGACCATTGCCTAAAGTATTATCAGAACAAGGATTTCGGAGGATAAGGAGCACCTGAATCACCTGTGTGTATCAGCAGAGCTCCAAAAGCAAATTTTTTTTGTCCTACAGAACAAATTAAGGCTTTTCTCTTAGCTACCTTTCACGAGTAACTAGCAGGAGCACCACACACATTGCATACAGCTTTTTTTACATATAAAAGCTGGCAGGTTCCAACAAGGCATTTAAAACAGAAGGGATTTCCTAATTAAAATCAATTACGGCTAAGCGGTACCCTACATGAGTATATATATATGTGTGTATATATATATATGGGTATATTTTCCTCAGTATGTTGCCTGGAATGTCAGTCTGCATTTGACAGAGGAGATTTGGTCTGGAGATGGGAAACTTAGCCGAAGAAACCAGATCTGTTGTTTACCCAGAGTTATAGCATCCAAATCAAAAGAGCATCCGGATAACCTGAATTCCCCATGGTTAGCAGGAAATGCAGAAAAACACAACGAAAAAAGACATTCTGTCTGATTGATTTTTTAGCTCTGAAGGGAGAGATGCCATCAGTTGCATTTCTTTATTGCTGCTGTTTTCAAACTCCAGCTTGCACTAGGCTGTGTCGGCAGCAATGTTTCCAGCTTCCCTCTCCAAAGTTAAGAAATCACAAATTTTATTACAGTGATTAAGGAAAAAGCGGATGGCCCTGAGAGGGTGGGCAGGGGAGGGTTTGTGATGAGACGCTGCTCCCCGCAGCTTGGATTTGTGGCTGGGGAGTCACTTGAAGCCACGAGAAACCAGAGCTGTGCAGAAAAAGCTGTCGTGAGCCTCTTGCAGCGAGCGACCACGCGAGCGCTGGCGCCAGCACGGAGAGGAGCGGAGAGACTGAGAGATGAGAGCGGGAGATTAGTTTGCAGAAAACAAAATTAAACTAGAAAACAAATGATAAAACAGTGATTAGGGCTGGAACATGCGGCTGACAGGGAAAAGCTCTCGCTCTGCTCCCTGAAACTTTTACATTCCTCCCGAAGTATTTGCAGATGTCCCGAGTGCTTGCTCTGCCCGTGAAGGAGGCAGCGCTCACCAGGCTCTGCTGTTAAAGGTCCAGGGACATCGTGCCTCCTAGTTTTTGTTCTGTTATAATTAAATGAGAGGGTCTTCTTTCAGAAACTGGTGTTGTTAGATGAGGCAGCGCTCACCAGGCTCTGCTGTTGAAGGTCCAGGGACATTGTGCTTCCCAGTTTTTGTTCTGTTATAAAATAATGAAATGAGTGGGTCTTCTGTCAGAAACTGGTGTTGTTATACCTCCTCCTCCCCTTAGCAGCCTCTGGTGCTTAAGTTCTCATGTGTGTGGTCAGCTTGCCGCGATGCTCATCCCAAAAAGACGAGGCAGATGCTCCAACCCTCTTTCTATTACCATCACTCAGCCCATCCTGCTCCCCCCAGGCCTTTAATCCGGGGGTTAGGGCAAAACAAGCCCCACTTCCCCGGGGCTTTTGGCAGCTGCAGTGGCAGAAAGATGCAGGATGAGAAGGACCTTTGGACCAGAGATCCCCTCGGAGACCTGCTCACTTGCCCAGGGGGTCACAAATTGTCCTTGCTGCCACCTGGAAAGATCTCTGCACCTGCAAGGTGCAACAAGAGCAGCCCACAAGGCCCCCGTCGTGGAGCACGTTGTGTTGATGTTCCCCGGCTCTCGAGACACCCGAGCGGGAGTAACAAGCCCCCAGGGACTGGAACAACAACATCTCTGTAGCTAATGCTCACCAAAAGCAAAAGGTGGAGCACCAAATAGGCTGTTTATGTTTCATTATTCATGTGCCTGAACTAGAAACCCTTCACAGAGTTTTACGTTGTTTGGCAAGGATGGGAAGAAGAAGAACTGTTCAGCGGTGGTATTAAAAACAGTAATTACTCATTCCAGGCATGGCTTTTTTTTTTATTTCCCTCTCTCTCTTGGCTTCCCAAGTTATAACAAAAAGCTTTCCACGCTGCTGCAATAACCCGGACAAGTAACTTGCTTCCCTTTTGCACCCTGCTTTAAGTGTGGTCGAGGAGGGAAAGGGCCGCTTCAAGCGGCGCTTTTAATTTCCGAGGGCGGCAAAGTGTTTTATTTTTAGGATGCTCTTACCAAGGAAAGCATCCCGGGGCAGGTCTTATCTCTCCCAGCTAATTATAGCCACCTCGGTCACCCCGTCCCGGCTGCGCCTGCTCATGCAGGTGGCTTCCAACTCCCATCTCCTCCAAAACTGCAGATTCCTGCTAAGGCGCGACATTTGCTCATTATTAACCCCTTCTGCTTCATATTATTGTTTCTCGGACTCACTGTGAACATTACTCTCACATTTAAGGTCGGTGAGTTTTCTCTGCAGCCCTCTATATCCCTCCATTTTTAATATGACATGAGAAAACCCTGATAAAACGTAACTCAAGAGAGCCGTCTCACAGCTGAACACCCAATTATTAGGTTTCTTGTGATGTTAACTTCCATTTAAGGTTTGGCTTCCCGCACAGAGAGCAATTTTTTGGCACGGCCTGCTAATTGATAGCAAATGGATCAAATTCTGAGTTCTCTTGACACTGCTCTTAGTGCAGCCCCACCAGCCTCAAGGGAATTGCCCCCGATGTAAATCACTTGTGGTTGCTGCTCCTCCGGGTGGTGGGTGTTTTTGCCCTGTTTTAAAATCAGATGTTAAAAGTGGTATCTTTTCTAAAACTAGAATTCATTAGAGCTCCAGCAGTACAGTCTGGTATTCCTAAAGCTTGTTATCAAGCCAAGAAACATGCTTGAGGAAATATAAATAGAAATTCATTTTAGTAATGCAAATCTTGGAGTCCTATTTTGGGCAGGGAAAATCCCTTTTTTTTTTTCTTTTTAAAGAAGCCTGATGGTCCAGATTTAAGGCTGGCTTATTGGGGATTTACTCCACTCCTGTGTTATGGTGGTGATTCTCCCCTGGCATTTGAATATATCTGCTTCTGACCGATGTAACCTTTACATGCGATAAATCCTTGCAAATTAGCTTTGGGTATGACCTGCCCTAGGAACTCACTCTGCCATATTTACTCCAGTATTTTTTTGCAGATAAGTCCCCTCTCTCCAGTCTTTCAAAACTGCACTGGGGAAATAATATATAGGAGAGATATAAGCCAGCTTTAATACGGTTTCTTTTTCTTTATCTGAATTGTCATATTTTAGAGGTCCAGCAAGATTTGCCTCTTGCCAGTGTGCCTAATTTGGCCTGGAAATCATTGGTACATTGTGCTGCTGCGTTGCACAGCTTTAGTTTTTGCATTGTATAAAAATGATGCATTTCCTCCAGCTTGTTTTAAATCTCTTTCTGGCATGTTTTGATTCCAACTTTCCTCCCTAGAATAGGGATGAAGAAATATGAAAAGAGTAGGTGAGGGAAATGCAGGCTTAGTATTAAGGTCTTAGTGTCCAGAACATATCCAGAATATCCCAGTTTGCTTCCTTTTTTCCCTTCAACAGTTATTTTTCTTCTTAGAAACCCCCACCTCGGTGTGCCGATGCGGTGCTCTAGTAACTTTGCAATGCTCTTTTCTCCTGGCAGTTGGGGAACACCAGCTGACGGGCCACAAAGTAGCCGTAAAAATCCTCAACCGGCAGAAAATCCGCAGCCTGGACGTGGTGGGGAAAATCAAGCGCGAAATCCAGAACCTGAAACTCTTCCGGCACCCCCATATTATCAAGCTGTGAGTACCCTTTGCTCGGGCTCCCCAGCGCTGCCAAGTCTTTGCATTCGCACTTGGCTCCGTTGCAGGAGAGAGGACTTGCAGCAGTACCTAATGCAAACCCTGCAGTGCTGTTTTTGCACGTTTTTTGCATGTGCAAAAGCCAAATCTTGCTTTTCTAGAGTCTTTCCACTCGCTTGCATGGGAACACGATCAACTCCTCCAGAGACGCTGGGAGACCTTTTTATTTTTCGCTGGGAGTTTGGGGTATATTATGAGCCACACTGCAAATTTTGCCTGAGGAATTACAGCTCGGTTTGGCCCCTAGAGCGAAGCCTTGGCCTTAAGTCAGTAGGATTTCTGTTTTAATGGCCTGATTATCCAGAGCTTAAAGGAACAATTTTGTTTATTATTCAGACATGCGTTTTCAAAATTGCCACTCTGATGAACCTGAATTTCAGCCGTAAATCAGCACCTGCACAGCGGCCGCTGGGATTCCTTCTCAATCCCCAGTTTGTGCAGCTAGTCCACATTAATGAGGCACTTGATAATATCTTTGGCATTTCTATAAAAGAAAGCTGTTGAACGGTAACTGGACGGAGAAGTTGACATTTAGGTCAGCCTTAAAGCTGGCATGAGATATAGCAAATACCTGGGCCTTAGAGGCAAGGGAAAACAAATTCTCCCTACAGTTAAATAACTAACTATAGAGCCACTGTTGACTTTAGAGTAACTTCACAGCTCCGTGGATTTATAGGAGAACAGATTGGCATTATTTCATGAACACGCCAGCGAGAGGTCTCAGCTGGGCATCCAGCATCCCCCGAGCTAAGTCCTGTTCACACATTTGTCAAACAAACTATTAAAGCCAAAGAATTAAACCCAGTTTAAGAATGCCAGTATGAACGCCCTAAATAGTACAGTCATGAAATAGTGTGTTAAAGGAAAGGGGTAAGGTGAGACCATACAGGACATGTGCCTCCTATTTCAGTCACTTGTGGCATCTCCCCCTGTGTGTATATGTGTGTGTGTATATATATACATAGGCGAAGAAAAAGAATTATGAGGTAAAAGTGATACTTCTTCTTGCATACTCATTTCTAATTTTAGAATTTAGAGGATTTTAATATTTGATTAATACTTGATTTTAAGTTTTGAGTCATGTGGGGTGCTTTTCTGTGTTGCCATAAAGCATTTCTATACCTGTGCAAAAGTAGCTCCCTCTAGTGTTTAGAGCTTTTTTTTTGGTCTTCTCTCAGTACTAGGGAAAATAAGCAGCCTTGCTCCCATTTCCATGACGCCTTCCTTGCTAAAAAGACATTGTTACAGATCTTATCCAAAATGGCAGTTTGAAAGTCAGGACAGTCCTAAACGCGGTAGACTTTTCTGGCAGAGATTTCAGAGGATTATGTAAAAGCTCAAAGGAAAAAAAAAATGAAAAAGTAAGTCCATAAAAGAGATCCTTTCAGTAGACAAGGGAAAGATTATACTTATTCACCCTGTGAAACGAGAGACGGCTCTTCAGAAATGGAAAGCAATTATAAATCCAAGATCCGCACAAATCCTTATTTTCAGGGTTGAAGTGAGGGTAATAATCTGTTTAAAAGCCCTTCCCCATCCTTACTGAACAATCATTTCTAAACACGCTTGTGCTTTTCCAGGTACCAAGTCATCAGCACCCCCACTGACTTCTTCATGGTGATGGAGTACGTGTCTGGTGGGGAATTATTTGACTACATCTGCAAGCACGGCCGGGTAAGTGGCGACACCACATCCACCCAAACACCAGTGTGGGAAGAGCAGGAGGCTGAGACGGAAAACGACCTCTGGAGGGAACGTGGTGAAGGTTAAGGCCAAAAATAGAGCTGCCTCCTCAAGTTGTTTGGAGACTGTCTAAGGATGCGGCTTATCGGAATGTGCATTTTCAAGGGCTAATATTCCCAAAGGAATATGAAGCTTGCATGGAAAATCACTAGCATCTGCCCTTGGGCATCCCCATAGGTAGGGAGCCTTCATGGAGCAAGGAGATAAAAACAGTTAAAACTAAGCTCTCCTTAGGAGCCAGTCTACACCGAGCTTTCTCCTTTCACCTCGGTACCCACCAGCTAGGGGCTGCATCCCTTGGAAACAGCAGCTCATTATAAAATACCAGGGGGAGAGCTGCTGCATTTGCTGTGGCGGGTTAGTGTCATTCATCTTGTTCTTAGCCAAACCTCGGAGCTGCTCCGACCCTTTCCCCTTGTCCCGCAGGTCGAGGAGGCAGAGGCAAGGCGCCTCTTCCAGCAGATCCTCTCTGCCGTGGATTACTGCCACAGGCACATGGTGGTGCACAGAGACCTGAAGCCGGAGAACGTGCTGCTGGATGCACACATGAATGCCAAGATAGCTGATTTCGGTAGGTGACCCTGGCAGCAGGCCAGGAAATTCAGGGATTGCTTCTTGCAGGCTTCCCCTGTGCTTGCATTAGTGTGGAGGAGCAAGGTGGTTTGCAAATCTTCTCTGTGTTGTAGTGCAATTCCCTAATATAAGGATTTAGCTGATTTATGTTTAATTCAGACTCCATGCAGCTAATTGAAGGGTGACCTGGCTGTATGTGTTTATTTTCATGCACGTTCTCCCTAAGTATGACTGTGTGCTCTTGGCCTCACTGCATTTTACAAATGAACGGTGACAGGAGCCTTACAGTGGCATTACTGGTTGAAATCCAAATGAAAAAGCTGGCTACCAGCTCAGGCCTAGCAAGTTCCTTATAGTCCCCTTTATAATGATTAAATCATTTTGAAGAGTTACACTTTTCAGAAGGCCATGCCATTCCCACATGAAGCATGTATTTGGAAAGAGATTGCATATGTTTGTCCCCTCTGTGCTCTGAGTTTTTCAACTCAGATAAGCACAGTGAGTCCCATCCTCCTTAGGATGTGAAAAAATAGTAAGAATTGTCATGCACAAAACAGCTCAAAGGCATCTACCTCATTATACCAGCAGTTCCCTGCCCTGTTTCCCCACTCCGCTTACCATTCCTTTCCAGGGTCCTCTCTGGCAGGACCTTCATGACAAGCATCAGTATCTAAACATCTCATTTTTAGGCTTGTCCAACATGATGTCAGATGGGGAATTTCTGCGGACCAGCTGTGGCTCTCCAAACTACGCAGCCCCTGAAGTCATCTCTGGAAGGTAGGATGGTAGGATGTACCACTCAATCCAAGCATGTGTGAGCCCATGGTCTTTCCATTTGCTCTTGTGATTGGAAACAGCTTTGCCTGTCTAGGAAAAGCAGCTGAGTCCTTCCAGCCCATATTCTACATCTGAGTGACTCTGCTGGCAAAATCTTGAGGCTTTCTTGGTTGCCTCATTTCTCAATACTAGTTATAATAGCCCCTGAAGATACTTATTATGGAGGAATAATTAGTAACAGGTGTTTACTGTTTGTATAGGCAATTAAAGAGGGTGAAAAATAATTTTGGGGCACCAATACTGAGGTTTCAGATTGAAAGACTTTTCCAGGCTGCAGCCTTCTCTCCCACCCAACTATCACATAAAATACAGTGTTAACAAGGAAAACCATTTACTGGTAGAAATATCAGTAAAATCTTTAATCATGATAATATATAGCATATAATCTTTTATATGCTTTTAAATGTTCCTGTTTGAAAACTGTAATATTCTGGTGCTTTAAAGCTATTTTTTTTTTCATGAGAACCAGTTCATCCAGCATAGCTTTGTTTTCAAATGATGAACTGAACTGGCAAAGCTGCAGTGTGGTTGTATACCTCAGCTACATAGGGCCAGTATGCAGCGTCTGTACTGCACATTGCATTTTGAGTTCAACCTTATGCAGGTTTGACTTCATTTTGAACCTTATATTCAACTTTCCCACATTAATGTGGCAGTATTGCCTCCTCAATTTTGTTGTTGAGAAACTAAGCTGTGTAGAAATGTGCTTATTCACCTAGTTGTACATAATAGCAAAGATTGTGACTAAGATCACTACTGTGCAGGAGGTGGATGCGTTGCCCAGACATTTGTGTGGAAGACCAGGGTGGGAGACCTGGTGCAAGCCTTGTGCTGTCCAGGCTGTCTAGAGCATAAGTGTATCAGAACGTATAAGTTCAGGTTTCAGGGTAATAAAAAAGCATCTTATTTGGGCCTAAGAGGCAAAGCAATTGCTCAAACAACATGGACAGCAGCAAAACAACTTGGCTTCCTTTCTGGTGAGATCGGGCATCAGGGCAGGGGTAGAGGGACATTGAATTCATGGTCCCCGTTTGCAAATGTCCTTTCTTTGCTGCTCCTGTTGGTCTCTGCAGAGAATTTCTCACACTCAGAAGTAAAGTTGGATTTAGGTGATTTAGTAGCATTCAGCGTGGGCTGGTTCTGCTTTCTTCACAGTTTGTAGGTCAGTCATGTTTGAGGCCACACTTTTCAGGAGCAGCAAGTGCAGGATAATCAGGTTTCATTAAGAGACCTTTGTACTTTCATTCAATCTCCTCATTTTAATACAATTTTAGAGCCCAAAGGATTCCCAAAAATCTTCTCCAAAAAGCACTGGTTGTAGCAAAAAGATACAAATGAACAAATCAAGTAAGCAAGCAGGAGTCAAACCCGTCTGTAAGGGGTGTCCAGACATGGAGATGCCAGGCAGGACATTGCAGCTTGTGGGAAGCGGGAACCCTTGCATACCAGCACGCAAGCTTCAACTGAAAATAGCCCCTCGGAGATATAATATCTGCCTGCCATTTAATCTGCCCCAGTGAATGAACAGAAAGTGTTGGCTGAGTCCTGCAGCCCTTGAGGGACGAGCAGCCTCGCGGAGCTCTTGATGGGGCTGAAAACTGGGCATCTGACCAGTCCTCACACCACAGTTGGGCCTAAAGTGCATGATCAGCCAACACCAGCTAGGGAGGTTATTTACCCTAATCCTTAAGCATTTTCTTTGCCTGAAGTGGGTTTGGTGGCATTCACATGAGGAGGTTAATGATAAGGATGCAGCATGGGGAAGCTGGAGGAGGTACCACTGTGGCGGGGAGAACATCTGCCCTGCAGGACTTGTCATGGGAGAAGATGGGAAGCAGGAAGAAAAGCGAGGGGTGATGGCTTTTCCACTGCCTTTCCTTGGTGCAGGTTGTACGCCGGGCCCGAGGTGGACATCTGGAGCTGCGGCGTTATCCTCTACGCCCTGCTCTGCGGCACGCTGCCCTTCGACGACGAGCACGTGCCCACCCTCTTCAAGAAGATCCGGGGCGGCGTGTTCTACATCCCCGAGTACCTCAATCGCTCCGTCGCCACGCTGCTCATGCACATGCTGCAGGTCGACCCGCTCAAACGAGCCACCATCAAGGACATCAGGTAATGCCACCCGTGGGGGGAAGCTGCGCTCGCGGTGGCCGGGGTCCTCTTCTAGAGCTCAGCCTGCTGGGGACAGAGGATGCTGCCCACCCTGGGCATCTCTGCTGGCATAGGGATCACTAACTTAGTCCTAAAATAACCCCTATAATTAAAATGTGTCTTAACGTGAGCAAATGGTTCACCTTTAAAGGCAGCGTGGTTTTCCAGTCTAGTGCATGAATGCGATACCCATGAACATTTTATGAAAATTATAGTAATCATCACATCCAGATGGTGTTCAAAGCACGTACCTTATTAATGTTATGGAGCCTTGCAGGAGTCCCTGGCTTCTTAATGCATTTACAAATGATGACTTTCTGGTACCCCTTCAGGTAAGGGGTACCCCTTTCCATCCATATGCATTTCCCCCCAGGGAGCACGAGTGGTTTAAAGAAGAGCTGCCCAGTTACCTCTTCCCAGAGGACCCTTCCTACGACGCCACCGTCATCGACGACGACGCGGTTCGGGAGGTCTGCGAGAAGTTTGAGTGCACCGAGTCGGAGGTGATGAACAGCCTGTACAGCGGCGACCCGCAGGACCAGCTGGCGGTCGCCTACCACCTCATCATCGACAACCGGCGCATCATGAACCAGGCCAGCGAGTTCTACCTGGCCTCCAGCCCTCCCACGGGCTCCTTCATGGACGACAGCGCCCTGCACATCCCGCCGGGCGTGAAGCCGCATCCCGAGCGCATGCCGCCGCTCGTCGCCGACAGCCCCAAGGCGCGCTGCCCCTTGGATGCCCTCAATACTACCAAGCCAAAGCCGTTGACTGTCAAAAAGGCCAAGTGGCACCTGGGGATCCGCAGCCAGAGCAAACCCTACGACATTATGGCTGAAGTGTACCGCGCCATGAAGCAGCTGGATTTCGAGTGGAAGGTAGGAGATAGTCGTGCTTGGTGTCCGTTTTCGTGGATCATTTTCTGATGATCCGTCTGAGGTGGTCATTGATATTTTTGCAGTGAGTCTGGGCACAGCCTCACCTATTTCTATGCAAATCTTCTTTTTCCAATACTCTAAAACCTCTGTCTGGAAAGATAATTGTTGCTTGTTTAACTGCAGTGCTTGTTTAGCTGGTTGCAGTTCTAATTTTAGTGGCTAATTCCTCGCTAGGTCAGCTTGGGTACTCCTAAGAAAAGTAGCTCTCATTATTTCTGGTAGGGTCATAGCTTTCATGTGTCCTGCAATGGCCTGATATATTTTTCCTTAATCCTTCTTAAATGACGTATAGATTAGGAGACTGGGATATTTTGAGTGCAGAAGTTCTGTAACCGCAGTGTTGTGTCATCAGTGTGGTGGATGACCATGAAAGTGGACCCTGTTTTAAGGCTGAGCTTCTGGGGGCTGGGTGTAAACCCAGCTGACGTTTTCCCTGATAGTGCTTCCTTTAGATATTTCTTCAGAGCTACGTGGCTTTTGGCCCCAGTCTTTTTCAAGTTCAGATGAGCAAATCCTTGCCACGGAGTTAGCCCTCACTGTTGCTGCTGGCCCTGCTTCCCCAAAACTGCTGTCGCTTACGTGCGCTCACCTGATTTTTACAGCACTTTTTGTCAGCATCAATAGGGGGAAAGGGAGAATTTAGGCCCCAACCTTTATCATCACGTAACGCTGTAGTAGATACCATCCTTGTTCCAGCTGTGAAGGGTTTTGCAGGGTGAACGTCGCTTTGGAAACGCTGAGCATTGCACATGGGCAGTGTCATTCCCGTGGGAGCATCTTTGAGTGATTCCAAGCAACCCACTCACAGGAGATGCCGGCCCTGGCTTCCTACCTGGATCCCAGCTGCCCAGAGAGCCCAGGCCAGGCTCGAAAGCTGCAGAAAGCACCAATTTTACTGTTTTTTTCTAAAACACCTGTTAGGAGGAAATCAGATATGAAGCCATTTGCTTAACTTTAAAGGAATTGTTCTTGAAATGTTCTTCCTGCTCCCTTCAATCCTATTCCTGAAAGCCGATTCCCTGTCGCAGGTGGTGAACTCCTACCATCTCCGGGTGCGCCGGAGGAACCCGGTGACGGGCAACTACGTGAAAATGAGCTTGCAGCTCTACCAGGTGGACAACCGCAGCTACCTTCTGGACTTCAAGAGCATCGACGGTAAGTCTCGGGAGCGCAGTTTGGGGCGGAAAACCGCATAAAAGGGGCAGTTTTTCCCCCGACAGGCGGGGGCAGCCCCTGAGCCGCCGCCTCTCCTTGCAGACGACGTGACGGCAGCCTGCCGGCCGCGCCGCCCCGCCACGGCAGCCACACCATGGACTTCTTCGAGATGTGCGCCAGCCTCATCATGGCCCTGGCGCGCTGACACCCTGCTGCTTCGGCCTCCTGCTTCGCCCTCCTCGACGCACACGCACATCCTCCTCGAAAACACCCCGAAAAACGACTCAGAGGACGCGGTCCTCTCTAAAAGCATCTAAGAAATTGGGAATAACTGCATTTCGCTCCTCATGGGTGAAATGTATACAGCTCACTTTTTTCTCCCTTTTTTTTTTGTGGCTGTAGGGTAGTAAAGGTTAAGTTTTTAAACGTTAAGTTTTCGGCGAGCGCTGCTCCCCTGGTTGGCCCAGGGTTTGCAAGGCCGAGTGCCTGGTGCTTGGCCAGGGCCATGGGGCTCCTCAAAGCGGGCAGGAGGCCGGGGGTCACAAACCAGGTCTGCGGCTCCGACGCTCCTGCCGTAGTGGGAGATGCCAACGCTGCGACCCTCGTCCCCAAACACGGGCATGGGGACGTGCACTCGTGCCCCAGGCCAAACTCGCCCTAGGAAAGCACTGACCTGCTCCCTGCTTGCGCAGGCGACGGCTGTTACTTGCCTTGGTTGTTTGTTTGTTTTTTATAATTATTCTGTTTTTTAATTATTATGAGTTACCTCAGGCCAGCCACTGTCTCACATCGGCCGGGCTCGCGGCGGTCCCTGTCCCCAAGGAGGTTCCGACACCGCGTTGCCTCCTCACCCGAGCTTTTCCAAAGGCCTCCGGCTGCGTCACCGCAGGAAAACCCCCGCGGGAGAATCCGCCAGCCGAAGGACCCTGGATGTTTTGGGGACTGGGACCTTCATGGCTCCACGGATAAGGCAGGGATCTCCACAGAGTTTCACTGTTTCTTATACTACTGGCTATCTAAAGGATAGGATTTTATTTTTTAAAACAAGCTATGGGGATTTTTAAGGTTAAATTCTTGTAGTCGAGGGTAAACACTAGTGCACGTGTGACTTTTTTGGTTTTTCCCTTTTTTTTTTGTTTAACAGACCCATTACTGCTGATTGCTTACGCTTATTGTGGTAGGTAGCACTGAGGTAGGCTTGGCTTTGCTATGGTGTTTAAATCCATTTACTTGATTGCAAAGAAACATAGTGGTCTCATCAAGAAGCAAACACTTTAGGAAAACGTTGCCAAAAAAATCCTTTTTTTTTAAATTATTATTTATTTCCCTTTGGTTTTGCTTGTTTGTTTGTTTTGTTTAAGAACCAAAGGAGAAAGGAGAGCTTTAGCAAGGCTGTTGAACCCGGGTATGCACTCGTCCAACCTTTAAAAATGTAACCCCTCCTTTTGATAGCATCTTAGGACCCACAGAGTTTTTTTTTTTTTCTGGGAATTTTTCTTTTTTTAATATGGTTGCACTTTAATTTATATTTTTCTGCAAGTTTCTACAAGAAGCAAGGAAGACGATGGCACACAATGCCTTTTGTACTAAGCATTTTAGGTACTGCTGACAAATATGGGATATTTTGCCATCTACTGGCAATTAAGTGGACATTTTCAGCTGGAAGTCCTTTTTTTTTAAAAGAAAACCCCAAACTGCCTTACTTTTGTTACAGATGACAATGATTCTTGCTTATGTGACTTTGCAGCTCCGTTTTTTTCCAGAAGCCGCACAAAGTAAAAAAACTTCCAAAAGGAAAAAAAAAAAAGGAAAAGTTTTTGCTGTTAAGCTCTCGAATGATAAATCCAACATAGCACTGTTTGGATTACAAACCCCGCAGCAGAACACTTGTTTTTAGAAGAAACACTGGAAATATTTGTAGTACTCCTAGGTTTTGTAACCAGCTTTTACGCTCTGGTTGCTATGAAATACTCTGGGGTGGAGAATGGCTTCGACGCGGTGCCTCGTGGGGAGCATCTCCTTCATTACTGGGCCACACTGGGCTTGAGCAGAGACTCCAGCCTTGCTCTTTAAAAATTTGGGGCAAAATGTGGCTGGTTTCAGGCTTCTGGGTATCAGCGTGAACGGTGCAACTTTGCAGCAGAGCTGTGTGCAACCCGCCTGCACCATTCTCCATTTCCCTGCTATAAAATACGTCTGAGAAGTAACAGGCTGTTAAAAATCATATAGCATTTGGTTCCTGTCGTATCCTTAGATCACACTACAGCATCTTGCCAAGTCGCTTGTCCTGGAAACGCCTGTGATTGGGTTAATTCCAGTCACTGAAGGGCTCGTACATCGGATACGATCTGCTGTTCGGGCACACTTAGCACTACAGACGTCTTGCCTTAAAATTGCCCTTGTCCTCTGGGCTTTCCTGCCTCCCAGAACAACACTAAATATCAGCAAATTCCCCTAGGAAGAAACATTTGCTTCCTGGCGGCGGATGGGATTCCTCGGTTGCAGGACAAGACTTGGTGGCACTTTGCCTCTTCTAGGACGTGGATTTTGCATCTTCTAATTCCTCCAGCACTCTGCTCAACGCACGCAGACTCATCTGGGCCAGCAAGGTAGATAATTTTGTGCTAAACAGACTTGAATTCCTCCAAGTGCAATTCCAACGCCGTGGATGGCCGGCTTTGCAAGCTGCAGATTCACCCACCGCCTCGGCCACGGGGAGAAGGAGGCAGAATGTACAGGACACAGCTCTGCTTGGTCCAGCCTTATCCGCCGGGTCCTGCACGAGCTAATTCCCGAATAATCGGCGCTGCACTGGTTGGCATATAAACATTTATGCATGTACAGCTATATGTACACGTGCACATTAATATATGTGAGTGTATGTGCACACATGGATATATAAGCTCAGTTCACCTCACTTGCACGTGCCCAGCGGGAGGTCCGTGCGGTGGCACCTGCCGTAGAGCCACTCTGACCCCAGCCCCGAGCAAAGGCAGGATATTTTTATCCCTTTTCCTAGGTGAAGCCCATCAGTAGCTTACCTGAGCTGCCAGCCCCGTGCCATGGGGCTGCAGAGGCCGTTTCGGCGGCGCAATCCCGTGCGGATCTGACCTGGCTGCAGGGATGCACATGCAGCTTGTGCGTTGGCATGAGCGTGTCCCAAGGGGTGACCAGGCACGAGGACGTGGCAGCTTTGGGAAGGGAGCAGGCTGCGCTCACCCGAGATGACCGTCGTCTTCGTCATGAGCGTTTTGTGCGTCCCGGCCGCCGGAGCAGCCCCAGGCCGCGGAATCCTTGGAGCACCAGTTGCTGTGCAATTACTTGGCTTCCCCTTCTTAGCCCAGAGGAGAAGGGGGAGAAGAGTCTCGCCTCCCCCCGCTGCGGATGAGCCAAAAAACCCACTCCGGTTTCCGTTGTTCCTGGCAAGTTTTCGGATCCATTTCTGGTTCAGGGGTATGAGCTGGCTCCTGCGGTCCCCTTTCCGGAGGGCTCAGTTCTGGTGCAGGTTTTCAGCTGGCTTCCTTACGCCTTCCCTCATACATTTCTTTGCATCTTTCACTGCCAGTAGTTCTGAATTTCCAGGCTGCTTCTTGGACATGGATGTGACACTACTATAAAAACACGGCTTCAAGGAGAGACACTGCTCTCCCACAGGCAGGCTTGGAAGCTCGACCCATTTTTCCAGTTCCCACATTGTCCATATTGACCAAACACTGGCTTTTGCCTTTAAAGGCATTTAATGCACATATCTTTGCCATTTTCAGTGATCAGAATTAGGAGAGCTGGTTGGTAAATCAAAGAACTAGGTGTAAAGCACAACACATCTT